TTTTGTCTGCGAAAAGTGCGAAGGACAATAATGCTGAGAAGCAGGAAGGGGAAAGCGGGAAAGAGCCAACGGGCCTACGTCAGCTGGTACAGCCCTTGAATTGTTGAAATGCAGACCAGAGTTCGAATTCCAGTGGGAACTTTATAAATTAAAAATCAAATAAGTCTGAACCAATCTGGGGCCGGTCAGTTCGACGAGGACATCTGAAGGTTGGCGCCCTTTATTCTTGAAAGATAAGAAAGTAAAGAAAAAGGAAAACAGGGGGAGGGGGGGGCATGTGCCAGTTGTCGAGGTATAGATCTTGCTCCGAGTACACTGGGCTCCTGCTATCCGATCTGAAGATCTCACAGCCACAGTGTGACCGCGTTGAAAAATGCACCAAACATAAACTAAGCCCCCGCTACCTTCTCTCCCCGAACACGAGGTACGGTCATTATAGCTGTACTTAGACTGAAAGATACCCCAAATACAGCTATAATGACCGTACGGTGTATTCGGGGGACGAAGGTAATGGGACACGGCCGCAGGAAAGAGGAAATCCTTTGTAACGAGTAGCCGCAAAATTTAATCTAGAGAATTGACACGAATGCCAGAAAACGGACGTTTTTTTTTTTTTTTTTTTTTAAGCCAGGAAACGGACGTAGTCACTAAGGGAGGCTTCTTTTTTTCCTCCCTTTTTTTTATTTAATCCTTTTGAACTGGGCGATGGCATTGAGGTATCATCTCCAAACTGACCAAAAAAAAAAAAAAAAAAAAAAAAAGAGGTATCATCTCAAAAATGACCATTGGCGGGTCAATGCAGAGGTATCTACTCATGTGAGTTGGTTGGGATACAAACTGAGGTCTGCATTTCAACAGTTCATGGGTGTACCGACTGAGCTATCTGTTAGGTAGTCCTCTTGGTGCTTATGTTCGTGTCGTGGTCGCGTTCTGTACAGTTTTTCTTTTGTCGTTTTGCGAGGGCTGTCGGAGCCCCCCACGTCGAAGCGCTGTTCACCTTGAACCCTTCTCCACCAACTCGGTCTTCAGAAACTGTCAACGGAAAATGCGGAGGGCGAGCCATGCACGTGGCCTTCTAGATTGCCAGCCTAGCCGGCCACGTGGCCAGTTAGGCTGGGCAGCTACCGTCTTCACCAACCGAATAAAACGTACGGTCATTATTGTTGCATCTGGACTGAAAGTTGCCCCAAATGCAGCGATAATTATTTTCATTTCTAAAATTATTTGATATCATATATATATATATTTTAATTATCTTATAGGGGTAACTTCAGTAGAGTCACAAAAACGAGTTATAATTGCACTATGGGACAAGATACAGTTTGCAATTGCACTTGGGGCACCCTACACCTGGCCAGAAAGCTGGGTTGTATACATTGCCCAATCTGCAATTCGAAACTGTATCTTGGCCCACAGTGCAATTATAACTCGTTTTGGTGACTCCCGCGTAGTTTCCCCTAAATATTATTAATATTAATAAAATAGTCAGCAGAAGAATGCTCATTTACAAGGGCTTGATTTTATGTCGAAACATCACATGCTCGCAGATGTGGTTACTATCATAGGTACTCTCAGGATAGTGTGTTCGGAGAAGTAGATACTAGATAGGTAACACTTCGTGTCGTACGGTGTACTCAGGTGAAGACGGTTGGGTGCCAGCCTTTCCCCGAAACCGATTTCTAGCTATGGATGAGAGATCGGACCAGAGAATCTCGTTGTGACGGTACGTTTATGATGATGTGGAGAGAGAGAGAGAGAGAGAGAGAGAGAGAGAGAGAGAGAGAGAGAGAGAGAGAGAGAGAGTGTACAGGGTAGTGTTTACTGACATGAGGTGCGGGAGGATAGGGTTCTAGGCTCGGTATTTCGTGGGGGGGGGGGGGAGGGTAGGGTTCTAGGTTCGGCATTCTCCACGTAGGTTGGGGGGATCGTAAAAATATATCGGACTGTGGGCCTTGTTCCAGCGGAGAACTCTCCGAGCAATATGTCGTGGAGAGACCCGATGTTTGGATCCGCATGCGATTCAGGACATATTTCCCCCCTTTGTTTAGGGGTATTTTGTTTTGCGGACCTACTGTATGGTTCCGTTTTTTTAACTATGGTTATGGTAGAAT